ACACACACACCACACTCATACCACACACACTCACCCCACACACCTACCACACACACTACACACTCACACACACACACCACACTCATAACACACACACTCACCCCACACACCTACCACACACACTCACACACACACCACACTCATACCACACACACTCACCCCACACACACACCACACACACACCACACACTCACACACATACACCACACTCATACCACACACACTCACCCCCCACACACACCACACACCTACCACACACCTACCCACCACACACACCACACTCATACCACACACACACACACCACACTCATACCATACACACTCACACCACACACCTACCACACTCCCCCACACACTCACGCACCATACTCATACCACACACCCACTACACACATACCACACCCACTCACACCCCACACCTATCACACACACATCACACACACTCACACCCCACACACCCCACACATCTACCACACACACACCACACACCTACCACACACACACCCACACACTCACACACCATACTCATACCACACCCACTACACACATACCACACACACACTCACACCACACACCTATCACACACACTCACACCCCCCTACACCCCACACATCTACCACACACACACCACACACCTACCACACATACCCCCCACTCTCACACACCATACTCATACCACACCCACTACACACATACCACACACTCACACCACACACCTATCACACACACTCACACCCCCCACACCCCACATATCTACCACACACACCACACACCTACCACACACTCATACCACACACCACACACCTACCACATGCACACTACACACTTAGACACACAAACCACACTCATACCACACACACCCCACACACCTACCACACCCCCACACACCATACTCATACCACACACCTATCACACACACACCACACACCTACCACACACTCATACCACACACCACACACCTACCACACACACTCACACCACACACCTACCACACACTCATACCACACACCACACACCTACCACATACACTCACACCACACACCCACTACACACTCATACCACACACACTCACACCACACACCTACCACACACACATGCCACACACCTACCCCCCCACACCACACACACACCACACATCTACCACACACACACCACACAAAACCACACCACACACCTACCACACATACACCACACACCCATCACAACACATTCATACTCACACACCCACACCACACACCTACCACACACACCACACACTCATACCACACACACACCACACATACACACCACACATCTACCACACGCACACCACACACAACCACACCACACACCTACCATACACTCATACCACACTCCCACCACACTCCCACCACACCCACCACACACCCACCACACACTCATACACATGCCACACACACACTCACACCACACACCTACTACACACACACTCATACCACACACACCATACACCCACACCACACACCTACCACACACACATACCACACACACTCACACCCACCACACACTCATATCACACACCTACACCACACATCCACCACACACACACACCTAACACATAGACACCACACACTTACCACACACACCTACTGCAACACATTCATACTCACACACATACCCCACACATTCACACCACACACCTACCACACATATACATACCACACACCTACCACACACATGCCACACACCTACCACATACACTTACACCACACACACCACACACCTACCACACACCACTCACACACCACACTCATACCACACACCCATTACACACATACCACACACACTCACATCACACACCTACCATACACACACCACACACCTGCACTCGCACCACACACCTACCACATACACTCACCACTCACACACACACCACAGTCATACCACACACCCATTACACACTTACTGCACACACTCACATTACACACCTACCACACACACTCATACCACACACACATCACATATCTACCAAACACACACCACACACCTACCACACACACATGTACTCGCACCACACACCTATCACACATACACACTCACACCTATCACATGCCTTATACACATGCATACGTCACATACTCTACACACACTGCACACTACATGCACTGAACACACTACACACACCACACACTACTCATTACACACACCACATACACACGCACATACCACACACTGCACACACCACACATACCACACACTGCACACACCACACATACCACACACTGCACACTACCTACACATACACACACTCACGTACACACAGGAGGAAGAAGGAAACAAAGCCAGCATGGGGGAGGAGAGCGGTCCTGGAGGAAAACAAGCAGGTGTCATGAGCACACCCGCTGCCTCAGAGTGACAGGGTCTGGAGCCCAGCTTTATCTGGTGGCCTCAGTTTCCCCTTTTGCAAAATGAGCAAAATAATAGCAGCCTCCTAGCACTGCTGAAAGGACTGGGCAGCTCACACTGTGAGGTGCTCAGATGGCTGTATGTCATTTATTTTTACTCCCTCGCTGGCTCTGGGGGAGGGTCACCGAGAGAAGGAAGGTTGAGGGAATCCTGCAGCCCAGGTACCCGCAGAGGAGTTGGACAAGGTGGGGTGACCTGCAGCCCATGCTGCTTCCTCAGCCCTCCTTCTCCGCACCTCACGTAGACACCCCCAACATCGTGGTGCCCCCGGAGGTGGTGGCGGGCACGGAAGTGGAGGTCAGCTGCATGGTGCCGGACAACTGTCCGGAGCTGCGCCCGGAGCTGAGCTGGCTGGGCCATGAAGGGCTAGGGGAGCCAGCTGTGCTGGGTCGGCTGCGCGAAGACGAGGGCACCTGGGTGCAGGTGTCCCTGCTGCACTTTGTGCCCACCAGCGAGGCCAACGGCCACAGGCTGGGCTGCCAGGCGTCCTTCCCCAACACCAGTCTGCAGTTCGAGGGCTTTGCCAGCCTGGACGTCAAGTGTGAGCCCGGGTGCGGGTGGGGCGGGGCGGGGTTGGAGAGGAGGCGGGGGCGGGGCGGGGCCAGGGCTGCTGCACCCGTCCGTCTGCTAACCAAGCCGGGTGTCCCGGGCCTCAGACCCCCCGGTGATCGTGGAGATGAACTCTTCAGTGGAGGCCATCGAGGGCTCCCACGTCAGCCTCCTCTGTGGGGCTGACAGCAACCCCCTGCCGCTGCTGACCTGGATGCGTGATGGGACCGTGATGCGGGAGGCAGTGGCCGAGAGCCTGCTGTTGGAGTTGGAGGAGGTGACCCCTGAGGAGGACGGCGTCTATGCCTGCCTGGCAGAGAACGCCTATGGCCAGGACAACCGCACCGTGGAGCTCAGTGTCATGTGTGAGTCGCAGGCCTTGCTTGCCCACATGCCTGGCAGGACCTACAGTGGAGCCCTAAGGATACGCAAACTGGCCTCGTCCAGGGCAAGTGTATGCTGGGCCTGGGACACAGTTGAGGAGGCAGGTCAAGGTGTTCCTTCATTGTTTCTGCAAGTATTGGTGAATATCTGCTCTGTGCCACTGGTATCGGAAGGCAGGATCAGAAGACCATACGTTCTGTGTCTGCCTCCTGGGAGAGCTTGTTAAATAGTTTCCTAGGGGCAGTCTGGGGCAGTCTCCATGTAGAAGTGGGCCTGGCCCCAGGAATCTGCATTTTATTTTTATTTTTTTAGTGCCATGGTATCATCATAACTCACAGCAACCACAAATGCTTGGGCTCAAGCCATCTTCTTGCCTTGGTTTTCCTATTTTTAGTAGAGACAGGTCTTGCTTTTGCTCAGACTGACTGATCTTGGACTCCTGAACTCAAGCAATCTGCCCAGTTCTTCTTCCCAAGTGCTGAACCACCGTGCCCCCACGGAATCTGCATTTGGAAATGAACCCTGTTGTAGTTCTAGTGGTAGATTGAGGGGACCCCAGGCTTCTCCCAGCTCCCCTGTGTGCACAGACATTATGGGGCTGTCAGAGGGGGCTGATCAGAACAGAATTCTTAGCTGGGAACCAAGGAGAGGCCATTCACTTGTTTATTCATTCACAAATATTTATTGAGGCTAAGTGCCCAGGGCTGAGGATAATAAGACAGCCACAGCCAACATGTTCTCAGCAGTTCCTGAGTGCTTTCCACACACACATCCCCAGAGCTAGGCTCACTGAAGCCTTCCCCCACCGTCCTCTCCAAAACTATAACTACCCTGATTTTCTATCCTCTTTCCCCCTTTATCTTTCTTCACAGAACTTGTCCCCATCTTGCTGAGTATATATTTTACTTATGTAGCCTCTTCCCACACGGGCCTTCTTGAAGCTAGAAAAATGCCTGTCACTCAGCAGTTGTCAGTGAATGTTGGATGGTCATCTCTGTGAGGTTGTAACTATTATCAAGTCCATTTTCCAGATGAGGAAAGTGAGGCCCTGAGACATTAAGACAGGTCCTCATGTAGCTCAGAAGAGGTAGAGCTGGGATCCAAAGGCAGATACTCTGGTTGCAAAGCCCCTGGACTTCTAAACAAGACATCCGGGACAGGGCTGACTTGAGCCACCCTGAACTAGTGGGCTAGGTTTGGGGTGTCTTGCTTCATATTTGAGGGTGGGAGCTGGCTGGCAGAAGATGCACCTTCTGGTTTCTGACCATCAGCTCCCTGTCCTTCATTACCCCTGTCCCAGATGCTCCCTGGAAGCCGACAGTCAACGGGACAATGGTGGCCGTGGAGGGGGAGACAGTCTTCATCTCATGCTCTACACAGAGCAAGCCGGACCCCATTCTCACCATCTTCAAGGAGAAGCAGATCCTGGCCACGGTCATCTATGAGAGTGAACTGCAGCTGGAGCTGCCGGCAGTCAAGCCCGAGGATGATGGAGAGTACTGGTGTGTGGCTGAGAATCAGTATGGCCAGAGGGCCACTGCCTTCAATCTGTCTGTGGAATGTGAGTAACTCCCTTCCACCTCCACTCCCAGGAGGACGGTTCGATGAGGGGCACCTGGATTACTGAGAGATGTCCACGTGTCCCAACGAGCATCAGCTTTGCGTGTGCTCACCAGCAGATGGGGAGGGCAGGGAAGCTGAATTTGCAGCAAGCACATAAGAATTCCATCTGAGTATACTGTGTGCTTTCATCCTAGGGTGGGCTTTTGACCCAGTAGATTTCTGAATCCTGTGGCCACTGACCCTTTGCATGAACTAAATAGTAACCACAACATCTAACCCTGATAGAGTGTCCCTGGGTATAGGCACCGTTGGAAGCCCTGCATCGGGACCCGCTCATTTCATCCTTATGATATCCTTGTGAGAGAGGTTCTAGTACTGTCTCTACTTTACAGAGAAGGAAATTGAAGCCCATAAGGGGAATGCCATTTGCCCAAGAACTCACAGTTAAGAAAAATAGCATAATTTGAGACCCAGGCAGTCTGGTTTCCCTCTTCTGTACTGCCCAAAGTTGACCTCATCCTATGTAATGACATCAGAATACGTTGATGGGGCAATTGTTATGTGCCAAGGACTGTTCAGCTCTGTGGGAGGTCGGGGGTAGGGCTGAGAGGACAGCAAGCTTATTAGTAAATACAGTATAGCCAGAGAGATGAGATGGGTGCACATAGAAAGCTACTCTCTTGGAAATGGAACTCACCATTGCTCTGCTAACCAGCAACTCTCCTGGCCTCCCCAGTGTGGGCAGCATCACCAACCCTCCCCTAGCCCCACTCCAGCCATCTCTCCAGGTTGTAGTGGCCATGCCTGTTTCTACTCTCCTTTCTCAAGCGACTCCCTGCGGAATGTCTCCTCCATGCTTCTATTTCTCCTGCTTCCTAAGCTCCCTTCTGGCCTCTGGCATTCGTCTCTAAATTCCTCCTACTGTGGCCCTCACCATACAAGTTTGCCAGAAGGTTCAAAGAGATTCAATATGCAAAGTTTTCAGCACAGTGTCTGCTATGTGGTTCTTGCTCAGTGCTCTGTACATGGCAATAATAGGTACCTGGTAGATCCAGCTTATTCTTAGAGCGCTGCCATCCATGGCAAAGCTAAGTCAGCCCGCTTCTCAGCTAACCTATCGCCTTCCAATATGTCCCCCCCATCTCTGCCCCCTCACATCACTGCTGTGATCATGGAATGTGGTTGCACAATGCCCTGCTCTCTGCATCCCTATGTGCCCCCTGGGCTGGCTTCCCCTCCTGCTGCACCCTTTCCCAGTAATGCCCCATGCCACCGGCTCTTACATTTATTAAGGGCTGGGAATTTCATCCTCTGCAGGGGTTATCTCGTGATCCTTGTGGCCACCATGTGAAACGGTGTGCATTATTCTTATCCCTCTTTAGTGGGAAGAAAACTAAAGGTCAGAATTCCCAGAACCCATGTAGCTAGGAAGGTTGGCTAGAGCCAGGATTCTTCCAGACCTCTGCCTGCCCCAGCTGTGAGATTTGAGGCTGCTTCACCTCCTCATAGCCCTGGACACCCAAGGACTCACTTAATCTGGCTTCTCTTGAAATCAGACAGACGAAGTTGGAGTGGGTGGTCTGCAACCTGTCAGAGTCAAGGGACATCAGCGGCCTTGTCCCCTGCCCCACTGGCTAGCTCCTCAGTCCTCTCCAAGGTCTGTGTCAAAGTGTGGGCCCTCTGAGAGTGCAGCCCTCAGGCCCCTTCTGGCCACCCGCCCATCCTCCCTCTGGACTGAAGCTTTGCTCGTGTGCTCCCTCTGTTGGGATGGCTCGACCTACGCAGCCCTAAGTACTTGAGTGGGACACACTCGAGCGCCCATCTTTGGGGTCCCGTGGCCCCTTGCCAGTCGAGAAGGATGGAGGACGACAGTGAAAGCAGTTTGTGCACATCAGGACTCCATAGCCCAGGGAAGTGGAGTGGCCTCACCCAGCCAGCAGATGGCAGAGGTGGGATTCAAGCCAGACTCTTCCCATCCCAAACTCCCCTTTCCTTGTCCCTTTACCTCTGGGGTTTATGTAGCGTCAGTCAGTTCAGGGTTTCAGAGTTCTCCCAGGTGGCCCTGGAAGCTGCTGAGCACAGCGGGGTGTTGGCATCACCCCACTGGCTGGGGCAGACATTGTCACTAGAGGCACCACGGGGCCATCTTGGGTAGAATTCAATCTCTTCTTAGTTCAGGCTTGTTATTAATTTATTCTGTGGTGTGTTAATCAGTTAACACTATAGAAAATGTAATGCCTATCTGCCTAACCAGAATTTGGAACCTGTCGTTTTGCCTTCAGTAGATTTAGAGATGTTCGCACTGAGGTCCCGATCCCTGCTGAGAACACATCTGCTCATGGATCCCCTAGCCCAGGCATCCTCAAAACTATGGCCCGCGGGCCACATGCAGCCTGCCTAGGACACTTATCCGGCCCGCCGGGTATTTTTGCTGCTGCTGTCTGTCCTGCTTAGCAGCTGACTCATCCTGGGGCCCACAGTCCAGCCCTCCAACGGTCTGAGGGACAGTGAACTGGTCCCCTGTTTAAAAAGTTTGAGGAGCCCTGCCCTAGCCCATTACCGTCACTGGCATATTCTTTTTGACTAGAAATTGAGATCAAGCAGGCTATGTGGGCTGAGGGTCTTTTTCCCATGTATAAGTGAGTTTTAGTCAGAACCAACCAAGAACCAGTGCTCAGTCTAAGTGAGCAAAGGAGGGTGTCAGATGCTCCAGGAGGGGAAGAGAACAGCTAAAAAAGAGACATTCAATGGTGTAATATCATTTCTAACTTTGGAAGATGAAAGACAGAAAAAAAATAGTACTTTTTTGGGTAGTCAAATGGCGGCAAAGCAAAGCTCAACAGAAGGGCCTTGGGTCGAGGGTGGTGTTTGGTGCTTGTGGCAATGGGGAGTCCAGGGACATGGCAGGAGGGGAGAGAAGCTGAAAGTGGCAGCAGAGGCTGGGGGGATGGGAGGGAGATGGTGCAGGGCCCTGAGAGGCTCAGAGCTGTGAGGACTCAGACCAGAGACTGAGCAAGCCAGCTTGATGGAAATAAGAGACCAAATATGTCAGCATGTGACATGGGTGGGGACAAGTGCTTGGGAGGAAACCTGAGTGAGACGGGGAGTGAATGAAGAGAGGGGCGAGCGCAGCTCCCTAGGTGTGCAGAGAGGGAAGCAGGGCACCCAGGGAGCTGCGCCTGCTTAGAGACCTGCAGGGAAGCCAGGGCATCTGCGGGGTCAGAAGAAAGTGTTCCAAGGTGAAGGACAAGTACACAGATGCTGTGGCGGGAAAGAGCTCTGTGAGTGTGAGAAACTGGTAAGGAAGCCGGGGGTGGGGGGAAGAAGAGGGAATGTGGTCAGGGCCTTAGGGGCTTTGTGGACCAAAGAATTCGGATTTTACTCAAGGGACCCAGGGAGTAATCAGAGCAGGGAGCAACATACTTTGATGATGCGCTTGGTACAGGTGGACAAAGTTAGAGCACGTAAGAGATGGTGGCAAGGGAGAAATGTCCTCATCTCTGCCACACAGCATCCCTCCCAGGCTGAGCCTGAGACTGGAGTCGCCCACTTTTGGGGTGACTAGGGAGGTTCCAACAGGGAATGCCCCAAACTGTCCTGAGATGGGGTTGATGCGGATTCCACAAGGAAGCACAAACCGGTAGGGTGATCGGCCCAGGGGTTCATTAGGGGACCATACAGAGGTATCCTCGCAGATGGCGAGAGAAAGGGATGTTCTGCTCAGGTGTGTCTGGCAGGAAGCGTCAGGGCATGGAGTTTGGATGAGGGTGCCAGGAATGTGGCTCAGAGCCAGGGCTGGTTTCTTTCAGTGTTTTGCACAACAATCTGAACACTTTTATCAGTGCCCGGGAATGTTCAAGGCTCTGAACCCCACAAGGAAAACATGCAGCCAGCCAGGTCACAGAGAGGTCAAGGTACTCTGTGTTTCTCAGGACGGAGAAGAAAGTGGGGGAAAGTGGCTACTGCCCCCAGGCTTGGCCTTGCCCTCAGCCAAGGGGTCTCCTGAGGTGCCACTCCGTGCTGGCTCCGGGCCACTCTCAGTCTCCGCCTTTCCCTCCCAGTTGCCCCTGTGATCCTCCTGGAGTCACACTGTGCAGCCGCCCGGGACACAGTGCAGTGCCTGTGTGTGGTGAAGTCCAACCCAGAGCCATCCGTGGCCTTTGAGCTGCCCTCACGCAATGTGACAGTGAATGAGACGGAGAGGGAGTTCGTGTACTCAGAACGCAGTGGCCTCCTGCTCACCAGCATCCTCACGCTGCGGGGGCAGGCCCAGGCCCCGCCCCGGGTCATCTGCACCTCCAGGAACCTCTACGGCACCAAGAGCCTGGAGCTGCCCTTCCAGGGAGCCCGTGAGTGGCTTGTCCCAGGGGTGGGAGCTGCTCCTTTCCAAGCTCCCCATGGCTGACCATCAGATTGGTAAAATGGCCAGATTCCCCTTCCACCTGGTAAGGAGAGGCTGCTGGAGTTTGCCCACAGTTATGAGCCCCTCCCCTGGGACCTCCCACAGCTGAAGGGCTTGCAGATGGAGCCAGGAGCCTCCACTAGCCAGTCAGTGCAGGGATGTGTGACTATTTCTACTATTACCCCAGCATGTCTCCTAAGAACCCAGGTGTCCTCACCACCACCAGCATCCCTGAGGGTGCCTGGGTCTTCTCTGTCCTCAGACCGACTGATGTGGGCCAAGATTGGGCCAGTGGGAGCCGTGGTTGCCTTTGCCATCCTAATTGCCATCATCTGCTATATTACCCAGACACGCAGGAAGTGAGTGGCAGTGTGGTGATGAGGCGTCTCCCAAGGGGGGTTGAGGTGGAGTTGGAGCTGAGGATGGGTGAGGGAGGCAGGGCTGTATGTAGGGGGAGGTCAAATTCTGCTGGAAGAATGGCCAGCTGGGTGGGGCAGAGGGCTCCTGCAGATGCCGGCCGCTGTTGGCCAGGGCCTCAGCTGAGCGGTCGACACACACAATTCATTCCCTGCCATGGCCTCCCTGTCCCCAGGACATCTGCCTGGCATAAGTGGGGCGGGAAAGCCCAAGTACCCCGCAGCCACAGCATCTGTTCCAGTTGGTCCTAAAAACCCTACAGGTGACACAACTGTGGCAACAAGACCCACTCCAGCCCAAACCACACCCACCTAGTTTTCACCCTTGGGGCACACGCGTCAGCTGTCCTGAAAAGGAGTTAACCTCCTTGCTCCATATCCTGGTAGCAAAAGGGACAGACAGACCCAGAGCTCATGAGGGAACCTAGAAAATCCAGACTGGGGCCCTAAAAAGTGGCAGAGACCAGGGACCAGGTCCTCAGCCAGGGCAGGAGCCCCAAAGGCAGGGAGTGACGGCAAGAGGAGGTTGGTCCTTCCAGGAAGGTTGTTTGCCCATCCTAGAGAGTTGGGTGGGAGCAACTTTGGGGTTGCATGGGCCCAACTCTTAAGGTAGACAGGGGTGCATAAGGGGAAGAAAGCAGGAGGCCTAGGAAGCCCACTGAGGTTGACATGTCCTGCCCTGCAGAAAGAATGTGACAGAGAGCCCGAGCTTCTCGGCAGGGGACAACCCTCCCGTCCTGTTCAGCAGTGACTTCCGCATATCTGGGGCACCTGAGAAGTATGAGGTGAGGGCTCCAGAGCCCTGCAGCCCCAGGCTAGCTGGGGTCCTGTGAGGCCAGGGAGTGGGGGTGGGGGGCAGCCTCTCAGATAGGAGAGAAATACAGTGGGAGGGCTGGGCCCGACCTGGAGGCTGGGGAGGAGGTGTCCAGGCTGAGGCTGTCTGTGTAGGGGGCTATGGGGTGGGGGCCAAGGGAGCCCTCACCCTCCCTGCCTGCATCTGTGACTGCATTTCCTTCTCCAATAGTCCAGAGTGGTCTCTACCCTGGAAACCCACTGAGCGCCCCCGGAGGTAGGTTCCAGGGGCCTCAGTGTGCCGGCCTCTGCGCCCTCCTCGGATCTCGGGATGGGCATGCCTACGTGTGTGTCCCTGTCAGGCGTCCAAAGTGGTCTCTGCTTAAGTCTGGCCCTGCCCAGCAGTCCTGGCCTTGTCTAGTCAGTCCCTTTGCTGCTCCCTCCTGTCTGTGGCCACTGTCCTGTGTATGCGTCCAAATGCCTCTGGGGTGTGAGGGATGGAGAGCGCGGGTTGCCCATGGGACCTCCCAGGGTGGGAATGGAGACCATGCCAGATGCAGTAGGTCCAGGGGTAGACCTACTGAACCAGCCATTCCCCCAAATTTGGGAAGGTGGGAGCCCTTCTAGGTGTGTTTGATTGGGAAGATACTAGGGATTTGATCTGGGAAGGTGTTAAGGATTATATTGTATGCTCCCCAAATTCCTGTATGGAAGGAGGCTCCCGAAGAAACCAAATCTGTGGACACATTTCAGGCTCTGCAGGGAGGATGGCCTGAGCCCCCTGGTGGCCATGGGACTCATTAGGCTGGTAATCTTTGAGAAAGGACATTCACATGGGGCTCCTGGGTTGAACTCAGTAGCTATGCGAATACAAACACTCCAGTCTTTGCATAGGGAGAAGGCAGGGTCGGGATCCTGCTAATGGGTAGTTTCTCCTCACAGAGCGAGAGGCGCCTGGGATCAGAGAGGAGACTGCTGGGGCTTCGTGGGGAGCCCCCGGAGCTGGACCTGAGCTATTCCCACTCGGACCTGGGAAAACGACCTACCAAGGACAGCTACACTCTGACTGAGGAGCTAGCTGAGTATGCTGAAATCCGTGTCAAGTGAGGGAGCTGGGGGCAGCCCGCGTGGGCACCCCCCCTCAGGACCCTCGCTGGCCCTCACTGGCTGTGGGCTCACTTCTTCCCTAAAGTAGTGGGGGGGGGAGCTAGGGTAGGAAGGGTATGGGGCAGGTGACAGTGACATCCGGGGGCCTGGCCTCCCCTCCTCCCCAGCTGCCCTCCCTGCCCGCACCTACACCCCACATTTCAGCTCCCCTCTAACCTCCTTTAACCTCATCTGTCTGGAGGGGAGCTCTGTCTGTCCGTGTTATTTATTGCTACCCCCTGCCTGGTCATCTGCCCCTACACCTGGCCCCAGGGCCTTTACAAAAGGGACATGAAATAAATGCCCCGAAGCCAACTATCAGTCTAGTTCCTTATGTTTTCTGACCTGTCCTTGGAGAGCCTGCCATGCCAAGTCTCCAGAGTGATCATAGAGTTTCTCTTTGCCCTCTATTGGGCCCTTTTGGGGACAAAAGGCTCAGGGACTCTAGCTCAGAGCCCTGGCTGATGGCCATTAACTTGTTCCCACTCTAAACTGGCAGCTGTGGTTGGGTGATTTCACATGACAGTTCTCATTCTTGCATCTGTCATAGTCAGGTCACCTGACAGCAGCCAGGCTTGGCACTCATACATGGCCATGGCTCACTGAAGGGGTGGGGCTCTCCAGTTGCCACAGTCTCCACCATTCCCTATTGTCTTACCCAGCCCCTGCAGCTCAGGGTTAGAGCCACCAATCTAGGTGTGTTGTTATGGGGTGAGATAAGGGCCACTGACTGAAATTAGAATTTCAAAAAGGAGTCTTTTATTGATCGCGGGGCTGTCTCAGCAAAGTGAGAGAGCATTGAGGGGTCTGAAGTTGGGGTTTATCTAGTCTGAAAGTTGGCAAAGGGCCAAACAGGTGGGCTGAAAGTTAGCAATTAGAAGCAAAAAGAAACATGGCAAAAGAAGCAAAAAGCAAGCACGGGGTCACAATGACCCCTTTTACAGATGCGAACCTTGCAATTTAGCGGTTTAGTCAATAGGTAACATAAAGGACAGTTAGATAACAATAAGGTAACATAATGCAGATCTAGCAACTAATGGATAAGTAACACAATTTGTCACAGCCCTTAGCTCATTAACTTTCATCTTGACAGTACTTGGCCCATGCGTTCTTATCTTGTCCTGCTCCGGCCTGCTCCGGCCTGATCTAAGAGTAATGGCGCCTGTCATCATTTCAGAGTTATGGTATCCTCATCTTTTTGTCCTTTCATCTTTTATCTTACACAGCCCCTTGGTGCATGTCGGTGGCAGGCGGTATCCATCTTTGGGGGTGATGAGGCAGCTGGCACCCATGAGGCTGCCGGAACCCATCTCATTGTGAGCCCGTGTTGGTTTGACTGCCAACCCTTTCTTTTATGTTGTGCTTTGCAGCGTCAACCTGTCAAATGTCACTGCATTTTGGTTGGAGAAACATTATTAAGTGCCTGTTGCATACTGAGCAGCTGAGAAGGGATCCCCGGGACAGCCCTGTTAAGATAAGGACACCAAGACTGGGATCCCAGAACTAGAAAATGGTGCGGGCAGGTCCTGGACTTGGTTCTTCTGATTAAAAATGCACTTTTTCTGTCCGAAGTTAGAGAGAGCCTATGGAGTAAATAGTATCCACAACTAACATTCATAGAGTGCTTCCTATGATTCTACCCAGTTTACATTGGTTAATGTCCGTTTCCCTTCCTGAACAACTGAACAACAATGGTTCTCAACATGTGGTCCCTAGCCAGCAGCATCAGCATCACTGGGGCACTTGCCAGGGAGGCAGATTCTCAGGCCCTTCCCCCAGATCGCAGGGATTGAAAACAATCTGTCTTTTGACCAGTCCCCCAGATGACAACTGGAGGTGCTGAGACACAGAGATGTTCCATCACTTCCAAGGTCCCCAAGATCCCCGGCTGGTAACCAGGGAGTCCATATTGGACTCCCAGTCCCCAGCTCCAGAGGCCATGCTCCCACTCTGTTCTCCACGGCCACTGTGGTGAGAACCGACACCCCCCACCCCCAGCGCCAAGGGGGCAGCAGGAATGAAGCTGTGGGCTGCAGGCAGTGAGGGCAGGATTTCCTGAGATGGCAGTGCTCTCTGGTTTTGGAAGGAGGCAGAGGACACAGGACAGAGACCAAAGTAAAGGGATGGAGGCAGGAATAAACCAACCACATTGGAAGGGAAGGTGACATGGGGCCACTCGACTAGAAGGGAAAGTCTACATGAAGGAGAAAGGCAGAGATGAGGGGCTGGGCTGTGAACAGTGGGGACAGTGGGAACAGTGGGAAGGGGGCCTCTGTGAGGCTGCCCCAAGCTGATCAGAGCTTGCCCCTTCCTCACAGAGCTGAGTCTTGCAGGGAGAAGGGCATGAAAGAATCTCATGCTTAATACCAAACTGCAACTTGTGATACCTGCCCCAAGCAGAAGCTCAGAGTTTTTACAGCAGTGGTCCCCAACCGGGGACCAGTTTCATGGAAAACAATCCTTCCCACGATCTGGGGAAAGGCCGGTAGGAGAGGGGAGGGTTTCAGGATGATTCAAAAGCATTTTACCGTGTACTTTGTTTCTATTGTTATGACATTGTAATACATAATAACATAATTATACAGCTTGCCATAACGCAGAATCAGTGGGAGCCCTGAGCTTGCTTTCCTGCAACTGGATAGTTCCAGCACCAGCACCAGCACCAGCACCTCGCTCCACCTCAGCTCATCAGGCATCAGATTCTCATAAGGAGTATGTCGCCTAGATCCCTTGATAGCGCAGTTTACAGGAGGGTTTGAACTCCTATAAGGATCTAATGCTGCAGTGCTCTGATAGGAGGTGGAGCTGAGGTGGTGATTCGAGTAACGGGGAACAGCTGTAAATACAGAGGATGCTTCCCTCCCTTGCCTGCTGCTCACCTGCTGCTGTGAGGCTGGGTTCCTAGCAGGGCACGGAGCAGTGCTGCTCTGCAGCCTGGGGTTGGAGACCATAGATTTAGAGCACAGAACATAAGTGTGACTTCGGGTGTCAGGGACCAGGGGAGGCTTCTCTATGAAGAGAAAGTCACTGGTGTGAAGGCCTCAAATGGGAACATGTTTGGCAAAATTCCAGAAGCAGAAGCAATGCCTGGGAGGTGTGAGGTGAGGCATAGAATAGGTCAGAGCCTCTTGACAGTGGGGATGGAAGTTTCTTCCAGATCTCCTGCACACAGCTCTCGGCCCCGCCCTGACACACCTGAGTCCTGATGATAGACCCTGGCTCCAGCAGGTCTAGCCTGATAGGAATTCTCCTGAGGACTTTGCCCTGAAGAGCAGACCAGTGTCAATAACCGGAGGCAGGGGAATAGCAAAGTGCAGCCTGAGCTCCAGGCTGGTGCAGGAGCTGATCCCAGGAGGGGCATGGGGCGACTTGTACATTACTGTTTATGCTTCATGTAGTGTGTTTCAGACCAAAAGGAAAGCAGCTTCACAAACTGGCCGTGGATGAGGCTAAGTAAAAAATAAAGAAATAAAAAAGAAAAACACAAAAATGAAAAAAAAATCAATCAAATGAATCGATTTAAAGGAATGTATTAAATAGACATATTTTAGGTGGCACACAGACAGGGCAAAAATCTGAAGATTGTAGGCGAAGTTTTAAAGTTTAGGAAACAATAAAGTAATGTGACGTGCAGATGACCTCTCAGGAGGGACTGGCCTTCAGCTATGAAAAACAAGTCGGACCCGAATTCAGGGTCACGTTCTTGGACTTTCTCCACCCAGCTCCTGGGCCCTACTAGAATTCAACACATGTTTACTGAGCATCTCCATGCCAGGCCTCTGCTGGGCTCCAGGGTTACAGCGGTGCCCCCAAAGAACCGCCCTCTGACCTCCTGGAGCTGACATTCTGCAGAAGAGACATATGCTGGTCAGAGAAGCAAACTCACTGCCACAGACCAGACAGTGAGGCTGCTAAGGAGGAACCTAAGCAGAATGAGAGGGCAGAGCGTGCTGGGCATGGCACTGTCCTGGAAAGAGAGGGCATCTAGCTGGGCATGGTGGCACATGCCTGTAACTGGGCACTTTGGGAAGCTGAAGTGGGTGGATTGCCTGAGCTCAAGACTTCAAAATTAGCATTTGTAAGAACGAGACCCCATCTCTACTGAAAAATAGAAACCCTAGCCAGGCGTTGTGGCAGGTGCCTGTAGTCCCAGTTACTCAGGAGGCTAAGGCAAGAGGATCACTTGAAGCCTAAGAGTTTGAGGTTGATGTGAGTTATGATGCCATAGCACTCTACCCAGGGTGACAGAGTGAAATTGTGTCTCAAAAAATAAATATTAAATAAAATAAAAAGAAAGGTCATCTAGCCAGGCATGGTGACACATGCCTATCTATAATCCAGCAGTTTGGGAGGCTGAGGAGGGAGGATCCTTTTGAGGGCAGAAGTTTGAGGATGTGGTGAACTATCATTGTATCCCTGCACTGTAGCCTGGGCAACAGAGCTAGATCTTGTCTCTTAAAAAAAGAAAGAGAAGAAAAGAAGAGAGGAGAGGAGGGGAGAGGAGGGGAGGGGAGGGGAGAAGAGAGGGCAGGAGAGGAGGGGAGAAGAGGGGAGGGGAGGGGGAGGAGGGAAGAGAGAGAGGAAGGAAGGAAGGGAGAGTAAGAGAAGTCATCTGTGTAGAGAACTGAAGGAGGGAGGGAGGGAGACTCTGCGGGTTTCTGGAAACATGAGTCCAGGGAAAGCCAAAATCAGGTGCGAAGGCCCACACTCGCTATGCTCCCGAGAACAAGAAAAGCAGCAGATCTGAGCCTGATGGAGCAGGGGTGAATGCCCAGGGGCACTTGGTCACAGAGGCCTAGTAGGCCACAGGCAGGACTTGGGGGATGTGGACTTCTCTGAGTGAATCAGGAAGCCGCTGGGAAGTCCGTTCAAAGGAAGGTTCTGGAGGGGCTTGAGGTTTCAAAGACCTGCTGGCAGGTATGGGCGGTGAGCAGCAGGGTGAGGGCTGGGCGCATGGGGTTGACAGAGAGCACCTGGTGGGGAGGGGGCAGGGGTCAGGACCTATAGTGGGGAGAAGCACTGGGACTCGCTGTTGCTGGAGGCGAGGGGCCAGAGTAAGACCAAGGAGCAAGTTTGTGGAGAACCCGGGAATGTGTCTACTCCTCTTCGTATAGGCTGGGGAGGCCTGCAGAGACAGGAAGGCTGATGGCACCCCTTCCCTGGGAAATGCCGAGCTGAGAAAGAGTCAGACCCCATGCACAGTGACTCACCCTGCTGACTCAGAGAGATGGGGACAGATGCTGAGATGAGGTCCAGTGGAGCTGGAGCAGAGTGAGGAGGTCTCAGTCTCAGATACCGGGAGGGATGGGGTGCCA